CACAAGAACTGACAAATAGGTGCCTTGTTTCACACCTTCACGTGGAGGTCATTTTGGTTTTGCCTCTTTGATTACAGTTTACAGTGGAAGTTAGTCCTTCACTCAGGGGCTAGCGGCTTCAAGACTTCCTGACTTACACATAGGGTAAACTCCTGTTTTCTAGCCATGTAGCAATATGAAATATGCTCTGTGAATTCAGCCGGGCACAAACACCATCAATTTTTAGCATGTTTTCAGGTTAGCCTGTTTGCTCCTCTCAGACAGACTTTGCTTCCCAATCAGTACTTGGACTACTTTGCCTAAAAAACATGCAGGTACTAAGGCTGTACTTCTTTCAACACCTGATACTGTCATCAAATAGGTATCCAGGCACATATACAAGAACCGCTTCCGTAATTTTCTGTAGGACACCAAGAAATGATACTTGCTCTTAGACAGCTGGAGACATATTTTACCATAGACAGCCAGGCCATTTCTTTCGTACATGCTCTGTAGTCTGCACAGCCTGTTCTCCAGAGCACGTGTGTTTATGCTCTTCCCCTCCAGAAGTTCTTTTGGGCAAATTTACTGCTCTGGTCATCACAGGTAAGACATGAGGAAGGTGGGTTTTTCGCACGTGACAGATTTCATCATGGATGGAGATGTGTGGATCCTAAAATTCACTATAACCAGAGTGGACTGCTCCTACTGGGTCATATGCCAGGAGGGCAGGCATGCAAAATCTTTGCAGTTCTGTCTTTTTGCCCAAGCAGCTCAAAATCCAGTGAGAATTAGCAGCGTCCTCAATGTGTCACGGATATTTAAGTAACTTTCCTTTGGCTTCAGATCTCCATCTGTTCAGCAAGCATAGATAGGTCTGACTAAGATTTCACTGAGGTCCAAGAGGAAAGTGTGCACTGCAGAGTGGAGCTAATTAAGCAGCAGAGTTGACGGGGTCTTGATAAAAAATTCATATGCTGTATGTTTAAGTTTTTAAAAGTACTGGCTATAGTTACAGATAGATAGATAGACAGATAAGGCTTAAGAACACTGTGACGTTTGTTACAGATTTAAATGCATGTTTCCTTTTTGCACGTATGCTCACCTCTAAGTGTGGTTATTAATAATAACTTTACTCAGTGTTAGGAAAGTTATGACAAAACAAATGAAGAGGTGGGGAAGAAGGCTTAGTGGAAAATTATTACGGTACGTAGTTAGAAGGAGACTTTATAGGAGGCAGCATGGTTCACGTGTTAGCTGGCCAGTAAAAAAGAAAACAGAGAGAGCAGGTGAAAAATGCTTTCCCCAGGCACTGAGAAAAGGAACATAACAAAACGCTCACTGGCCCTCTCTTGCATTATCCCGGCCTAGAGCAAAAAACCCCCAAACTGCTGCAATCACACAGGTAACTAATTTCTTTCTTAATCCAAATCTCAGGTTTGTGCTTATCTATTGGGAGTTTTGGGGCTCTTCACAGCTTTTTTGGTTTATTGATTTTTGTGCCAGTAAAAGCACTGCTTTAGCAAACAGGCCAGTGCAAAGGTAATGTACAGGCTAGAAAGTTTAGCATCTCAACAAGCCTGGGGAATCATGTCATATTTGTAGACGTACATCTTGACTCTATTTGAGGCAAGACAACGTGAGGCAAAAAAATAAAGTAATGCTCTCATTGTAACTGCTACTTTGCCTGGCAAACTTCTCTCTTTACGTGGTAAATTAAGGCACGAGGAAAACAATGTTTTTCACATGGGCTCCTGGAGCATGAAGGTCTTAAATTTTGTTTATATAAAACATACCAGTTTAATTGTAAGGATATAGTTAAAGTAGTGTAACATTTTCATGTAGAATTAGTTATGCTGACAAAAAGGGGTTCATATCAATACAACTTTTAAACTGTACCAGTTAAGGGAAATTAATCAGCATATGGTATCTTTGCACTGCTATACTTCTAGTGGTCCCTCCAAGGTGGTATATTGGTAATATTACATCAGGGGAAAAATCCTAACTGAAAAAAAAACCCCCACACTTAACCAATGCACAAACCCACAAGTACTGGTATAACTAACTACTAGGACATAAATCCAATTCTTTGACTCATAGATGCCTAGAGATGGGAGACAGCTCAAGAGATTATTTAGTCCCTCACACCCAAGGCACAACTGACATTATTTTGATCGCATTTTGCAGTGTATATAAAGACTCTCCTACCAGCCCAAGTGCCTTAGAGACAAGTAACAGGTCAGCGAGCAAGGCTGGATTAAGTGTGAAGGGAAGCCACATGATTAACCTCTTTCCTTAAGCAGAGAGACCATTTCTAGCATCACCGAGATATGGAGATATTTATTGGGGTTCTCAGAGCAGATTCAGAAAGAAACTGTGGTACCCCATTTCTCATGCATCTTGCAAACTTCCTACCTCCCCCTCATTTTCCAAGGGGAATTGAGTACCTGATTGTTTCCATGGCTCTACAGTCCTCTAAGTCCAAAGCTGTGATCCCAAAACCACCTTGTTCAGGTGCAACCTCATACTGGAAATGCCTACGTATCACAGGAAATAAGAGTTTCCCCTAAGTTGCCTAGGCTTCTTAAAGCTCCTTCTTTGTGTATGTCCAAAAGCCCTCCCACAGCTCTGAACCTCCCTGGAATCCTCTCCACAGTCCCCTTCAAGGCTGCATCCTGTAGCTCCATCTCCTGAAGTTGCTCATAAAAAGCAATCTGTGGCCACTACATTCTATTAAACAAAGAATATACTTTACACTAAAACCCTCATGCAGGAAAAAAAGATCAGAATCGAGCTTTGGCTCTGGATCCAGAATCAGCGTCTCCTGTTAAGCAGTCACCTTGGTCACCAGGCTGCTCTCAGGAGGCTCATGCTGCCTTTTGACCTAGGCTCTCCCCACGTTTGCTTCTGCAGTTTTAAGGGGAGGGTCCCTCCATTCAGGGTAACTTCTGCTCTAGTGAGTCGGGCACCCTGGAGGTGGGAAGTGCAGATCCGAAACCCTTCCCGCCCCAGGCAAGGCAGGGGTCTGAACGCTGCTCTCCCACCTCTGCAGCAAGGCTTCGTCTACTCGCTGTCTTCTGTGATGGAGAAGCCCTGCGCTCTGCCTCCGCAGCAACAGATGGGCCAGTCTGGGGCCTGCCCTCAGGAGGGCTATCGCCACCGTCTTCCAGAGAGGGATCCCGGCTGGTAAGGAGGAAAGACAAACCTAGTTCAGATCCCAGGCACGCTGTCTGCTAAAGAGAGAGAGATCAAAGCCTCATTCATGCCCATACCCCTTTATTAGCAATAACGTTATCTACTGGCGGGAACTGTTGCCGGGAGCTCGGGTTTCCCGCGCTGCCCCGACTCCGGGGCCTGGTTGCCAAAAGGGCCTGGCCCTCAGCCCTCCTCTTCCCATTTGCGCGGGGCGGGGAGGGGAAGGCCGCAGCCTGGTTCAGCCAGAGCCACCCGGTTCCCGCCCACCCGAACTGCGCGGCACCCACCAGGGCCGCCGCGGCCACCACCCACGCGTGGCGACAGGCGAGGGGCGACAGGCGGGGGGCGACAGGGG